AGGCCATGGATCTTCAGAAATAACTGCTCCACCTGTGTGAAAAGATTTCATTATACAATGCTAACCTCATAAGTGTCTTGCAAATTTGGAAGGGCATTTGAAAGAACAATTAAAACTGCAGTTAAAAGGAAGCACTCTGCCTGGATGCAAGGGGCACCCAAATGCTATAGGGTGACTGAATGACCTCAGTGCCAGGTGCAGGTTGCTTAACTACAGTTATTAGCAAGGGAGGCTTCTGAGGGTCATCTGCTCCTACACATAACACAGGCTATTGCCATTGCTGTTGTTTGCATGACAGAACTAGACAATAAGTCTCTATTGCTGAAAACCTTACACCCTCTGGTTGAGGGTTCTACATAAATTCACCTGGGACTGAAATGGAAGCTTCCTCACTAATGGATGGCTCTCATGGATACTACGTTAGCTGCTGAGGGAAACAATGGTCCTGATCATCTGTGGACTGGTCCCATGTGTTAACACCACTAGCATGCCAGGTGAGATGCACCACCTAGCAGCAATAGTGGCACAAATGTCTGGGCACAACCAATTTCCAGTTGGATTTCCAACATACTCCACAGAGGGTATCCAGGTTTGATACTATAAACCATAAAAACTTGTGGCTAAGGAAGGTCAAAGGCTTAATGGGGAGGTTACTACTATTGTCTTGTTAAATAGATGTGTGGTGTCTGTGGCCTTCTAAACATCTATATTTATGCCACTGATTATGACTGCTGTTGGCCTTGACCAGGGTAGCAGTTACTATGGAAACTACTATGAAAACGTTATCTAGAATAGATGACTGTTACAATGGTAGAGTAGATCAATGTTCAGTCCTCAATGGAAGAAAAACTCATACACCTTATTTGCCACTTAATGTCTTCAAGAAACATTAAGCATCAGAAGGAGTGGACAGAATGTAGGAGCAAGAAGTAAAGGTGTTGTAAAGCTTTATTCTGCAGGTTGGATGTGCTCACCACCATTTTGAATGAGAACAATTGTAATCACCCATATGAGGTCTTTATCAGATAAGGCCTAGAAATATTCCCTCATGGAGGTCAGATGGAGGCTCCCTGGACTCATGAGGCTAATACCCATCCCCCACTTCCCCAAGGTTATATAAAGGTTAAATAGCTGCTTAAGGGAGGGAAACTCTTAGTAGTATTGTCACTCATAAGCTGTCCTGGGGACTTTTTTATGGTGCAATGCAGTGGCATTGTCTGCAAGCTGCCCAAGGGACTTCCTGGTGGTCTAGCTGTCTTTGAGCCACCCATGTACCTGTAAACACTAGCCCCCAACCAAATAGTTCACAAAATTAGATTTAGATGGAAGTTTTTAGTATGTGGGTACTGTCTCTATCTGGGGTGGTTAAATTTTTCTTTATATCTTCCTAAGTCCCATGACAGCTAGCCAGAAACATCACAATGGGAGGGCAAACCAGAGGAAAACTGCTCACTTTAGAGCAGTCAGGAAGCAGAGAGAGTTGAGAAATTGTCAAGGGACAAGACAGACTTGCGTCTAGAGAGCCATTAACTTCAACCAGGCCCCACCCATTAAAAGTTCATTTTGCTAGTGATTTAATCAGTGTATTAACTTATGAGCCAATCATCTCTTAAATAAATATATGTGTCGGTGTTTGCAGGGGTCTTAGCCCAGACACAGAAAGCTGAGCTGGGTCTGAGGAAAGGTAAGTACACTGCTGGCCTGTTCCGCAGCCTCTCAGGATCCCAGAGACAATCAGACGCAGCAGGGAGTCTAGCCAAGCAGGAACTCATCTGTTGTCTCATAGCAGGCATCTTTTAAAGGAAAAAAATTGCAGAGCAGGTGAACAGCCAGCCAATGGTTTTAAAGATCAGTCTATCACATGCCTAGCTGCCCTAGCTTTACCTAGTGAACACGAGCTGTTCATGCAGTGACATCATCTGGTTCAATCTAGGCTCTTGATTTCCCCTCAGTGTCATCTTTGACTGGCTCATGTGCCCTACAGGTGTTTGCCTGAATGTATGTTTGTTCATCCTACAAAATGCCTGGTATCCACAGAGTTCAGAAGAGGGTGTCGTATGTCCCAGAACTGGAGTTAAGACAGTTGTGAGCCACTATATGACTGCTGGGAACTGAATTGGGATCCTCTGACAGAGCAGTTAGTGCTCTTAACTGCTGAGCCCATCTCTCCAGCTTTCCAGCCATCATTTAAAGACCCATTAGCTGCAACCAACCCTCTAATGCACAAACCTTTGGGAGATACTTGTATATTCTATCCACAACAGACTGCAGTTGTGCAAAGGATAACCACTCTTTGCATTAAAAATACAATACAAAACACAACACCGTGGAAACAAATAATTCATGCTCACTATAAGAACATGTTAGTGTGCAGGATGAGCTACAATGAAAATAAAGGCCACTGTTAGCACACTGCAGTAGCCAGAGAGTTCCATGGAGATAGCTTAGCATCATTTCTGACTAACTTGACAGTGTTGCCATTACATCCCAGGAATTTCCTCCTCAGTCTATTTCTGAGTCATCCTTGTGAAGAATTTACAAATCTGTATATACTCTTCCCTTTGGAATATTTTCACAAACACAAAACACAGTGATGATTCTGTCCCTGCAAACAAGCAAAGCACATGGTTTTCAGGTGTGCTGCACTGCTCAAGCCCTACCCAACACTCACCCCCCTCTCCTTCCTTCCTTCCTTCTCCCTCCCACACCCGGTCCTTCTTTTCTGAAGGAGGGTCTCCTGTAGCCCAAACTGGCCTTAAACTTGCCATGTAGCCAAGAAGGACATTGAACTTCTGATCCTCCTCATTTTCCAAGTCCTGGGATGACAGACATTCACTACCATACCTGACTTTATATAGCACTGGGGAACAAACTCAGAAACTCATTCGTGCTAAACAAGTGCTCTAGGAACTGAGCTACACCCCAGCCCTGTTCTGAGCCCTTTGAACAATTCTCTATTTCCTCTTTCCTCTTTACCTAGAAGTGACTTATTTAGACAAGGAAGAAGAGAAAGAAAAAGAAAATAGAGGACAGTGTTCAAGGGATAGCAAAGGACAGTAGGGCATGGAGCTTTCTCATAGACTGCCAGGCCTTCAACAAACATGCTCCCATTTCACTCCAAATCCTCAGCTGAACTTAGGTGTAAAATTTCATCCTAAAGAAAATGCAGCTTTCCTTTAAACTATTTATTTAAAATCATGTATATCATTTGTATGGGCATTAAAAACGAACTGCCATATGATTTACATACATCTCCTATGCTGGAAGAGTTTTGACCCTGAGCCCTGGGTCCAAAGATAACAAATTCTAAATGATAAACCTCATTTATTTGAACAGATAGACAAACAATTAGTCTTGAGTAAATGGGGAGTTGATTGATGGTTGAGAAAACACAGCATGAGGACTCACATGGGAGCTTCAGGGTGGATTCGGGTTAGCATGTGTGCAAGACAGCAGTGGACCCTGAGTGTTAAACCTTCTATTTTAAGGGAAGGTCATTAACACAAGATATTAAAGGTGGGGTGAACAGGATGGTCTGAGAGGAGCTGGAACATTCCATCCTGCAGGGAAGTTCATTAAACTCAGGAAAGAACACTTCAATGGCTTCAGAAGTCCTTGGAAGTGAGCAGATTCAGTAGGCCCCTTCTCAGGAATATATAACATGAAAGGATTTCTGAGAAACACTCTAACAAGGTAAACTCACTGGAGAAACAGAAACCAGCTGAGCTGTCTGGAGAGGACACTGTCCAACCCACTGAACTGCCTGCAGGCTACAGTTTTCCCAGCTTTGTGAGCTGTCACTTAGGCTGGGATGGGCTTTGGCGATGCAGCTGTCTTTTAGTCATTTCTGCTCTTGTAAGTAACCCCTCACCCATACTCCTGTAAGTAACCCAACAAAACTGATTAGCTCACCAAGTCGGATTTTGGTGCTATCCTTACTTCTGTCAATCATAGATTCTCTATCCAGAGGTAGGTGTGGTGGCACATGCCTTTAATCCCAGCATTTGGGAGGCACAGGTGGTTGGATCTTTATGAGTTTGAGACCAGCCTGGTCTACATACATAGCAAGTTCCAAGACAGCCAGTGGTGTTACACAGAAAGATCATGTACCAAAACAAACAAGTAAGCAAACAAAAAACCCAAAACAACAAAACACTTCGCCCTGGGTAATGTCATACAATAATGTGTTTGAAACTAGATTAAAAGACTTAGGGTGTAGCTCAGTGATATGTGGGTGTGACAAACATTTGAGAGGCCTTGGGCTCAAATCTCCATCACTGAAAAATGAGTATGTAAGTTAAGTTTTAAAAATCTATTAGTTTAAGATGCATCAGTTAAATAGCCTCAGTTCAGAACTCCAGGGATCTTTCTCAGTAGAGTACATGACATCTGCATTGACTGAGGAAGCTGGGGCTGTAGACTTGGAGTGTGCGGGATGCATGAAGCACTGGTTTAGATCCACAGCACTGGACTGAACGAGCCTGCAATTCCAGCTTCTGGGAGATTGAGTCAGCAGAGTCTGAAGCACAAGGTCATTCTCTAGTATATAAGGGCTTCACAAGGCAGCCTGGACTATGTGAGGCCCTGACTCAGCAAACAAAATAATCCCCCCTCCCCAAAAAAGGACCTCAGCTGGTAAGCAGTATGCCCAAGATTTTTCTCAGTGCTGGGAGCTGAATGCAGTGCCTCACATACTTACTGTAGGCAAGCACTCAACTACCTGACTACATCCCAGCCCAGACTACGTTCCACCATAGGAATGTGGAGGCTTTCCTGTTGCCAGGGCAATGGTATTCTTTGTCACACTTCTGTCTTTCATCCCATGCCTCTACTTCAACTGGATATTTCCTTTAACATAAGCTAGTTGAGTAAGGTGTGCCATTATTCCTAGCATATTTTGGTTTTGCTCTACTAGCTGAAATAGACCCGGGCATATGTGAACACTGAGTAATGATAGAGTGAGGCTGCCCATTTCAATACTATGTAGTCCAGGGCATGTCTGTATTCATAAGTATAAAAATATTTTATTTCCTGATCTTTTCAGTACAAATGTCAAAAAGAGAATTCAATCAAGAACAGTTCCCAAACTTATTGTTAGGCTGGTTTGCCGGGCAGGCAAGGCAATAGTTATGTAACAAGATATTGGTGATAAATTTGGAATATTAATTAATGCCAACAAACTTCTTTCTTCATTGGAACCACTGGTGTGATATTATACATTCAATTATACATTCATATTATTTTCAGAGGTTTCTGTTTTTATTGACCTGTAACATGTATTTAAAAAAACTGTGCTAGCCCACAGTACTCAGTCCAGCTCACTGTTCCCAGACACAGAGGGTCATTTTTCTTCCTGCACGAGAGAAAGAGAGAGAGAGAGAGAGAGAGAGAGAGAGAGAGAGAGAGAGAGAGAGAGAGAGAGAGAGGGAGAGAGAGAGAGAGAGAGGGAGAGAGGGAAAGAGAGAGAGAGAGAAGGGGGTTGGAGGGCATGACAGGACTGACTCAAGCATGCATGTATGCATGCAAAGCTATTTATATGCCTGGTTAGTGTGACCACAGATCAGCTTGGAGATGCCCATTTACTGGTTTTCCCTTGTCTCTGTAAAGCTCGGCAGAAAGCAGATTCCTCAGGCCCAGGTCTGCCAGGAATGTCTTCTCCAAGAGCATCTGCCTCGCCCAGTGAACACTGCAGCATTACAGTAGAACGGAATGTCCAACATCCCTGCTGCATGTCTGCTCCCGTTGCTGTCTCTGTGTCTACAGGAATGGAATCTGTCACCTGGCTTGCACTCCTCTAAAGAAAGGCTGCCTTAAAACAAAAATGGGAGGAACGCTTTCCTATGCTTTGGGTAGGAGACGAATGTGCTCTTGTAGAATTTGTGGTTAAAGAAGGCGGACAAGGCTTGGCTGAAGAAGACGTACGTCACCACCAGCCACCAAGTTAAATTGTGGAACCCAAAGGTGACAGCCATGGAGAAGTAGATCATCAGCTCTGCTAGGTAGTTAGCCGAAGACACGTATTCGAACCAGTCTCCGAAGGGGATCCTGTGCTGGCAGTGAACTATCACACCTGAAAGGGAACAATGATGCTGTGTTACCACCCTGCTGCTGAAACCACTGACGGAAACTCTACCAAGTATCACAGCCGGTGCGGAAAGCCACCATCCTGTCACACTTCCACTGGCTATCAACCATAAAGCCAGGCATGGTGGTACGCAGCTTTAATCCCAGCAATCGGGAGGCACAGGCAGGTGGATCTCTGTGAGGTGAAGGCCAGCTAGTGCTGCAAAGTGAAACTGTCTCAGGAAAAGAAAAGGCCTGCTGGGCAGGGTGGAGCACTTCTTTAGTCCCAGCACATGGGATGCAGAAACAGGCAGATCTCAGTGAGTTTGAGGCCAGCCTGGTCTACAAAGTGAGTTCAGGATAGACTAGTGACCCTGTCTTAAAACAACAACAACAATAAAAATAAAATAAAAATCTGAAAAAGCCTCTGCTCAGGTTTCCCATCAGTTCTCACATGTTATGAGTAGGTCCTTCACTCACAAGCACGCAAGAGCTCAGATGCCAGAACTCAGGATGCATGAGTTCAAATCCTGACTCTTCCACTTGATACCTGTGTAACTTGATATAAATTACTTAATCTTGTTTCACCCAGTTTCTTTGTCTATAAAACAAGAATACTGTAAACTGCACCCATAATGAGTAAGTCCAGGCTAACCCAGAAGTCAAGTTTCTTCCCTTCTGCTGGCCCACACTACTCCACACTAACACGTTTTCCATATGCTGATCAGAAATGTGCAGGGTGCTGTCCCATAGGCTGGTCCATGATAGAATTATAGACTGTTAGAGCTGCATCTGCCCCCTCATTTTACCAATGGGAGGATCACAATTCAGAAAGTGGTCCTGTCAAAATTGAGCATTTGATATGGACAAGGGCATGGAAGAAAGGAATGAAGGTACAGAGAAAGCCGTCCCCTGAGAGCCTGAGCCCATCCGAGAGGTGCCAGAAGAGACCTCACCTTTTTTGTTTCTCCTGAGGTTGCTGAGAATGACATGGCACTCATACTGATGGGCAGATGACCAGAGAAACATCAGCATTCCAAGGACGTGGAACCACCGAGCTTGTGCCAGCAGATTCTTCCCCAGCACATAGACTATGGAACAGGAATTGCCCTATTAGCCAATGCTGCAGATCCCAGGGCTCTTGTATTATAATAATACCACCTCTGGACAGTGAGAGCTGCTTCTCAGTCTCCACAGCTCCAGCAGTCACAGGCCAAGACTGAGCGACATCTTCTCTGGAGCATCCTTTCAATGATCCTGGCAGGAACTCAGCCCATCCCCGAGTGACTTACTGCGTGGTGAGATGTCCTGTGCTTCTATGACAGAGTCTCGTTTTAAGTCTTCTTGCCCACACTCTCCGAAGGGGGGAAAAAAAAAAAATCCGCAGAGAAACATCTCCCTAAGCTGCCATCCAAAGCCCTGTAAGGGACCCTGAATCCCGAATGCAGAAAGCCGAGCTAACCAATGCACAGCGGTTACATGCCTGCCATCCTAGTACTTGGGAAGCTGAGGCAACAGGATCATGAGTTCAAGGCCAGCCAAGGCCAACTTGGACTACAAGATACCCAGCCTTGAGAAAGAGAGGGGGGGGGGAGAGAAGCTAGTGGGCAACCAAGAGTTCTGGAAAGCTCCTCTGGGCAAAAAGCCATGGTATCTGGCTTAGCATCTGAATGCCACAGTGGGAAGACATGGGAAGAAAAGCTGACTTAATCAATGACATGGTTGGTAGTATGAATGAGAAATGTTCTCCACAGGCTCAGGGCCTTGAACTACTGGTCTCTAGCTGGTGACACTATCTGCAGAGGTTTAGGGGGTGTAGTGCGGATGGAAGCAGTACATTACTAAAAGTGGGACTTGAGGCTATAGACCCTCTCCCCACTTCCAGTTCTCTCTCTCTGCTTCACACTTATGACTGAGGTGTGATCTCTCAGCTTCCCGCTCCCCACTGTGATGGACGAAACCCTCTATACCTGTAAGCCAAAATATGATCTTCTTCCTGGGAGTTACCTTGGTCATAGTACATTACCACGGCAACAGGAAAGTAACTAACAACTAAGTCCAGAGGACTTAGAAGAGATGCTGGCTGAAAGGCTGGAACCGGCAAACAATTCACAAATTGAGAAGCTATCTGGTCGGTAAGCCTGCCTTTCAAAGAATTCTTATAGCCTTAGGAGGTGTATTACAGCGACACAGTGAACTCTGCAGCACTCAGAAACCAAAACCAAACAAGGCAAGTCTCAGTTACTGATAGGTGGAAACACAGATCTTGGTCTCAACTCATGATATAGGACATGGAGCAAAGGGTCATGCAAGAGCTAGGATGATGGTCCATGGCATCAAGGTCAAGTTAACCTCAGCACTAAGTCATTCCAATCACCCAAAAGGATTAGAAGTTCTATGCTATCCACACAGGTTGTTTTTTATGAATCTGACAGTCATATAGGTTATGTAGCTTCCAAATAAAATAGCAAGCTACCTCATCTCCTGCTCACATACAAAGGTTTGCTTTCCTCTTCCTGGCCAAAAAGAATGCAGAAACCTTAAGGCCTTTTCCATTTACTGCCAGACTCGGTCTTCCTCTCCCTTTGGGCTGTCCCACATGAAGAAAGGCTTTGTTAGGAGGGCAGCCATCCCAAGAACTAATGGCAAGAGCATGGTTGTGCCTCCTCCTCCAGAAGAGACCCACTCACCTCAAGCTCTTCTCCCATCCCATTTTCTGTGATTTAATCTCATATAGTGACTTCCCTACCTCACCCATGCACCCCCTCCCCTGCAGATAACTGGGCTCTGGTGAGGCCACTTCCTTTGGAGGTCTCATGGCTTCTGCTCAGAGCTTAGCTACATTTCCTACCTCGCTACAGGCTAATCTCACACAGCTTAACTTTATCGTCCTTAAACAGACTCAAGAATGCTTTGTCCCTTACCATCGTCACTGAAGTCACAGCTGCTCATGCTGGTGTTTTTCAGGTTTCAGCAGACATATCTACCTTTTGACAAGATGATATTGAATGCACTGCAAGAGCCACTCACCACTCTTGTCGTCCATGGGCACTTGGCTCAGTACAGTTAGGCCAACTAGGACATAGTAGACAAGCCCGAAACAGTACTGCACGATGTGAATCACGGCGTTAGAGAACACGCTGATGTAGAAACACTCGAAGAGCCTCCGAAGGCTATGGACCCAGAGGGACGTCAGCACCAAGAAGGCAGACAGAGCCAGCTGACCCACTGCAATGCAGAAGGCGACACAGTTGGTGCCTCCTCCAGCATTAAGCCAAGTGTTCAGTTGGCCCACTTGAAACAGCCTTTCACAAGATCAGGGTCAGAGGGCGGAGAGACCGACCACTCAAACTAACCTCTTCCTCTCTCAAGCTTTGAGGACCCAGGCTGGATGACAGCCATGCGGTCAGTTAGTGGCAGGGTCGTGGGAGGAGGGGACAGAGCTCATCTCTGACTCTATCAGTAAGAGCCTTCCAGGCCACATGGATGTCATGATGAAGGGCCGTGGGTCTCTACTCCCTATGCCAACTGCTAGATGCAGACGGACAGGGAGAGGTCCACGCTGATGTTAGAAATGCTATGTGAGGGGACCCCGGGGCCACACCCACCCACAAAGGCAGAGATAGAGGTGGTGATCCAACAGGTGAGTATTTCTTTTCAGACTTAAAAAATAAAGAGTGGGAGAAGGACTGAATGATGAAGCACTACCTATCATTTGGGAAGCCTTGGACTCCATCTCCAGTGCTGCCAAAAGAAAAAGAAAAGGAGAAATTACACTTTTAGAGAGACAGTGGGTCCCAAGATCCACCTTCCCACAGGCCCTTCATCACATGCTCCAAGGCACTGTGAAGAAAGCTCATTTTTAAAATGTCACAAAACCCAGTCTGTCTTTTAAAAAGAGGGATACAGATACAATCACAGGGACAGAGCTTGGTGAATTTTTACTAACTCCCACATTTTACTAGTGCCCAGATAGAGAACTAGGACTTGGCCAGCGCCCCCTAGTGTTCCTTTCTATGCATGACCCTGCTGTAGGCTGACCCAAGGACTCTATTCTAAAAGGTCTACCAGCCTCTGCTTTGCTCTTTTTGTATTTTAGGTAACCTAAAACCCAGTTTTTAAAAAATTCTTTATGGACATGTTAAAACAAAGAAAACTCCTCAAATCAATCTAACCTGCAAACACATGAACATGGTAAGCAACAAAGCCCATGCATTAGGTCTCCCAGCCTCTTCTACTGAGCCCTTATATGCTGCTATGGCATGTTTAAATGCTCTTTTGTAATGACCTGGCCAACAACTATTCACAGTTTACTTAACTTAAGATGTACAACATAATAAACCTTTTCGGGTTAATTTTAATTAACTAATTTATTCTCTCTCTCTCTCTCTCTCTCTCTCTCTCTCTGTGTGTGTGTGTGTGTGTGTTGTGTGTGTGTTGTGAAGACGTCAAGGGGACAACTTGTAGGAGTCTGTTTCCTATTTCCCAAATGTGGGTCCTGCAGATGGACGCTAGATTATCATGCCTGGTGGCAAACGCCTTTATCCATTTATCCATCTCACCAGTCCCCAGATTTTTCTAAATGTTTGCCAAAGAGCAGTATTTAAAATACAAACTTCTGTGGGCCCCGGGCATGGTTCTGGCTGCAGCTGTGTAAATGATAAATGTTTCAGTGCAAATGCAAGGATTTCCAAAGCATCCCCAGCACATGTAAGGCCTTCTTTGTAAGCTTATCAGCCCACTGATGGTATCAGAGCGAGAACAGCCTGTCCTGCATTCAACACAGGCTTGCAAGGCAGCAGACTAGGGATTCATCCTGGGCTCTGCCACAGCTCAATGAGGACTTGGGACCAATGAATCATGCAAACCTTGTCCGCCCTCCACTTTCCATGCCCCACAGAGGGGCCTGATTAGTGAGAACTGCAGGCAGGAACCAGAAACAGGCTAGAGAGCCAAATTACCTCGGAAGTGTGTGGCCCCAAGAGTTCTGAGCAAAGCACGAAGCCAGTTTGGAAAAGGTGCTCCCAGGAAGAGAGACTGGGAAAGGAACCAGAGCAGGAAGCCATTCCACAACACCGAGACGATATAAAAGTGAGAAAAATACCTGCAATGGGAGGAAGAGTTAGGTAACCAGCAGCTAGAACCTCCAAAAATCCCAGGAAGAGTCTACCCTTCCACTCACCCCGCCTGTAACCCAAAATGCAGTAGGTTTTAAACAGAACCTAAATTCTTCAGGTGGGAGAATTTAGTTTCAAAGTGCACTTCCATATCATGAGACTCACTAATTGGACTGTGAAAGGATCAGTTAATAGTCTCTCCTCTCTGGGTAACAAGAGTGGTCACCGAGTTCTCAGAAGGAGCCGCAGCTCCCTGCACAGAATGATCTAGGCCATAGCAACGCAGGAGTCCTTTAGATCCCAAACTGGACATCCACACAACCGCCACGCAAGCATCATGCAACCGAGTAGGAGATGGAAGAACATTTCCAATGTGGATGCTGGAAATTGAATTTGGACCTCTGAAACAGCAGCCCATGTTCTTAATGGCTAGCCCACCTTTCCAGTTTCATATACTTTAAACATTTTGAAAACTTTTTGTAATGTGTGTGTGTGTGTGTGTGTGTGTGTGTGCGTGTGAGCGCGCACGCGCTGCTGTTGCCAAAGACCCAAGTTTGATTTCCAGCATCCACACTGGGCAGCTCATAACTGCCTATAACCTCAGTTAAACTAGATGGTCAGTGATTCTAACCCTCCCAGCACCAAGATTACACTTGTACCATGTCTGTGTGCTAGGGATTGAACTCAGGTCCTCATGCATGTGTGGCAGGCACTTCATTACCTGATCCATCTTCTTTCTCCCCGCATCTAGCCTAACATCTGATCAGGGAACATAGCAGTAGGGATGCGCTCCTGGCTGGGTGGCTGGGATGGCTTTCTAGAAGGGACATCTGCATAGAACATGTAATTCTTGCACACTTCCCTTTTTTTAAAAAAATTGTATAAACTTTATTTTAAAAAACTTACAAATAAATACAAATATCAAAAACCAAAATTAAATAGACCCAAGGCCTACACAACTCAACAAACTTCTACATTGTTGGAGTGTGCATTCAGAATGGAAGCTGTGGGGCTGCACGTTAGATTTTACACTCTCAGTATCTAATATATTGTATGCACTTCTCTGCCACCCAAAAAAAAAAAAAAAATCATGGCAGATTTAAACCAGAAATCAATTAGCTCTATATCCTCTCTCATAACTTGCATCCATCACCTACATTCAGTCCTTCCTCACCCTGCATATTTACCCTTTTTTCTTTTCTTTTCTTCATGTTATAATGTACCCATATGTATGTATGTTAGTATATACATATATCACTGGCTAGATTCTGCATAGGAGAGAACACATGTTCTTTCTTTCTTTCATTTTTCTGGGGTTCTATGACCTCACTTATTATGCATTCCAAGCCTAAACATTCAACATGAAGTTAAAAGTTTTGCAGGAAATGGACGGACTTAGAATGTGTAATACTAAGTGAGGTCACCTAGCACACTTTCCAAGCAGAGGAAAGGCTGCAAGGCACGGAGAGAGGTGCACTGCACATTGGGTGTGCGCCATCTGTGGTTCCTCTGTGGCTGTGTGGCAGGACCTGGAGAAGAGGGCAGGGGGCACAGGGCCCTGTAAGGATGCAGGCTTTTGTAATGGAGACCCATTTAGGCATACCAAAGTAAAACATTTTAAAAAGAAAATCGTTATTCAATCCTTTCCAAAGTTTCCAAGCATCCACCTGGGAGCTAGAGAAAAAGGCAGCTAAGGGAGCTTGCTGCTCTTCCAACAGATCAAGGTCCCACTCCCAGCACCACGTGGCAATTCACAACCATCACCAACCACCCAGGGATACAACTCCCTCTTCTAGCCTCCAGGAGCACCAGGCATGCACACAATGCCCAGTCATATATGCAGGCAAAACACCCCTAAACAAAAATTAATAATAATAACAAAACACCCATCTGTTGATGGCATAGAGACTATCTAGCCTTGAGATAAAGGATGTAGACTGGGACCTGGGAGAAAAGGCGCGACCATGAACTTTCATCTTTTCAACAATTCCATAGTTTGTTCTCTTCACATGGCAGACGGAATGCCAAGACTCTGAGAGGATAAGTTCCTTATCCAAGGCCACAGCAGAGGCTGCAGTTGGCTCCAGATGCGGCTAGAATGACTGGTGTTTATATCACATTGTTGCACTCTTGCCTGCAGACCTTGCTTGAACCTGTTTTCTTAGCCCTATATCGCGCAGAGCCTGTTTATGTGACACCTGTAGGCAAGTGAATCAGTAGTTGCGAATGAATTACTGGGCTATGCCTTATGGCTCTCCTTGCTCCTGGCACCTTTGGTTTAAATACACACTGAATTATTTTTCAGTCTCACATTTTATTCTGCTCTCTAAAGACTAGGAAACACTTCCTAGTCTTTACAGGAGGTCCTGTCTCTTGCCTGTATTTAAAGAGACAGTAATGACTCAAACTACAGATCTCCAATCCCCACTGCCTTCTGGGTAAAGACACTCTAGGACTTCCTCCTTTAGTAACTTGCTTCCTAGAAGTGCTGTTTTCCAAGTCCTGGGAATAGGGACACAGCGATCTTCCTGACAGCACAAGGTTTGGTGTGGGTACTCCTTTGACTAACAGCCACTTGGATGACTATTATGGGCTTTGGCTGACTGCAGGGAGAAGGTCTGTTGGGGAGTGTGCAATCATCATTTTAAGTAAGGCAGGTATGGAAGGCCTCACTGAAAATAAAATAGCTAAGCTTTAACCCAGGGACCAGGTGAGAGGGAAAATTTTCAGGTAATGCCAAGGCCCTGAGGTAGGATGAGAACTACTACAGGGAAGCCCTGAACTGGAATAGGGCCAATAGCAGGAAGTTACAGGGTGCAAAGTCAGAAGGGAGACAGGACTGCACAGGGCTGGAACTCCTCCATGGTCTGAAGCCCAGGAAACACAATCTTATTTAACATACATGTGCACTGAGTGTTGGCCCTGGCCCTCTAGTTAAGCCAGGGAGCTGTGGGATAACTAGGGAAGGGGAACTAATCTTCAGGTGACTGGGCCTGTGCTATGTATTTGAATGCCACTCCCACCTTTGACACCTCAGGATACCATGATGCTTCAGCTGCAATCCACTCGAGTACCACCATCTTTCTCCTGGACTAACACAGCAGCCTCTTGCCCAGTCTTTCTCACACAATGGCGCCATCTTTTATGTGCTACAGTGCAATGTTTTCCCTTCCACCACAAAGCCCTCAGCAGCTTCCATTCCTCTGGATAAGTTCCTGGTCCATCCTGGCCCACAAGGCTCTGACAAGAGCCTCTTTCCCCACCTCACCCATCTTCCCTACAGAGTCCCTCCTTAAAACTCTTAGCCCTGCTCAAACAACCTTGCTGGGTCTCCTAGGGAACACTTGATGGCCTCAAAAAAGGTTTTGCTTCTCTGAAATTTGTTGACATACTTTTTTGTTTGCCTACAAGCTTCATGGAGCCTAGGCTAGCTTTAAGATTAACAGCAGGCCCTATGGGAAAGGTATGCTAAATGCATCAAGGACATGGTAATTAGTTCACGGAAGAATCTAGTCTAACCCCTAACCAACTGAGCGCCCAGCCCTTCATCCTTTCAAACATTCTGGTAGGAGGGCCTTTTTTGCCTCCAGGCATGAGCTAAGGCTCCTATAGCTGATGACAAATGTAAATGCTGCTTGACAAAGGCTCTAGGCCCTTCTCAAAATGTCACCATAAGCATAAGATACATGGGGGAGACTAAGAAAATCAATAATATGGACATGTAGGTAATCCAATTATTAAAAGTCAAGTTTATGCCATAAGGAATCCATGCATTTGTTATATATTGAATAATTAGCTCTAGTGGTGAATAACTATGTTTTTTTGTGGTTATTGAAACAATGCTATTTTGAGGGGTCCTCACTATTTTTAATGTATTATATTCTATCAAAAACTTGGAGACACTGCTATTGTCCTGTGGTTTGTTGATGACATTCATAATTAAGGAAATGCTAATTTTTCAGCAATCGCTGATGAAGATAAAGATGAAATGTGTATCTAATTCACAAACCCCAACTGCTCCTGGATTCTAAGGCAGAAAACTGGGCAGCATCTGACTTGCAGAGCCCAGTTCAGTGCTAAGTTTCCATGTTCCTTGGAGCTATTTTGAAATGTTAGAAACAGACGTGTTTCCATTGACTGTGGAAGCCAAGAGCAACATGACTTTTAGGGCCTGTCATTTATTTATGCAGACTTTCTGGGGATTCAATCAAAACAAGAAAATCAGTTGTTGCTTTGATTAAAAAAAAAAAAAAAAAAAAAAAAAAAAAGCTGGGTGGTGGAGGCGCATGCCTTTAGTTCCAGAACTCTGGAGACAGAGGCAGGCTGATCTCTGTGATTTCCAGGCCAGATTGTTTTACAGAGTGATTCCAGGACAGCCTGGGCTACAAAGAGAAACTCTGTCTTGAAAAACAAACAACAAACAAACAAAAAACCCCAAAGACCCCAAAACTCAAACAAACAGCCAGTACCAGGCTGGAGAAGAGAAAACAACATTCCAGGAACTTAGGTTATATTCTTGCTTTCTTAGGAGAAAATAATTACAAACTAAATGACCTAAGTACTACCACATGTGCAGAAGAAACGTGCTTTATAGCTGCCTCTTTGTAAGTGTAGAAGTTATGGGCTTATTTTTTATTTTTATTCCTAAAGATGACATTACATTTTGCACAAGGAAAAACTATTCAAAATATTTAAGTAATAAGCACATTGGCTAAGATGACCAAATATTATAAGGTCTGGATTAACCAACATATTACAAAATGCCACCCTCTGGGGGTAAATCCACTGCCATTTGATCTCTTTCAGACGTGACTCAGATTTGCATGGTGCAAGAGCTTGCCAGTGAGGCATGCTGGGGGTTAGGAGTTTAGGACTGTCTGCTCACAGGCGGAACTTCAGGTTTAGCTGCCACACTCACTAGTGCAACAAGCCTGAATTTTTACATTCACGGGTGGAAATGCTGACAACAGCCTGTCCCTCACATGTCTGTCTTGAGGACTAAATGAAGAAAGACGTTTAGTGCTAGGAGTCTTGTGTACATGGCACAAGGACAATTCAGCAATGGCTTCTAATCCACTATTGTGTGTGTGTGGGGGGGGCGTTGGTTTGCCCAAGAAACTGCTAAGCACAAAGCCATAAAAGCCATGAAAGTGATGAGCACAATGTCACTGCAGATACAGAGAGAGGCGTAAAGGTAGCAATAGATGGTTACTTTACCCAACTCTAACTAGCACCTTTTCATGTAAGTGGGAAGATGGCAATTAAAAAGGAATTGATAAGCAAGAAGGAGTGTGGAAGGGTTTCTGTTGGCATGTGTTCTTCTGAGGACCTTGTCACTTTTGATGCAAATGCTCCCCTGGTTTTTCTTTGCCTCAATTAAGAATGGCTTTCCTTATTGGCCTGGCATTGTTGGACATTCCCCAGTACTGAAAAATTAAAGTACAATTTAGGGGAAAACAACAATATCCACCATCCCCTCAGGACAGTTGGACACCATGGAAGGCTCTGCACTAGAATTCTGGAAGAAGGAAAGAATAGTTATTTCACAATAGTGCAGGAATTACAAGAGGCCCAGAGTACCAATTGTCGCAGGGATGAATACAAGGAAGGCCCACCTCTTTCTTGGATGTTACATAATGACAGGCTTGAGTATAGGAACTGATGAGCCCCAGCCAGAGGCAGACAGGGCAGAAGCGGCTTTTAAGTGTGCTTTTAAATCCAGGGACACTAGGACCTTTCTCAAAAGTCAGAAGATAAATTACTATATAATAGAAAGGAATGTAGGCCAATCAAACCTGATTGCAATAGGATGACAGGGTATGCTCATGCTTTTAAAAACCGAACCTCTAAGAACAGTTCTTTGGGGTCTTATCTCTTTACCATTCATTCTTCACAATGATTTAGATGTCCACACTCAGACTGAACCCCAGGTAGATCACTCTCCAACAGTCAAGAGAGCTGCCCACTTTTCTGTGTTTCTTGATAGTTGGGCATCATCTGCAGAAGTGGGCGCTGTCTATAGACTTTGAAAATAACATGGATGAACCCATCACATTCCTTCAAATTCAATTCCGAATGTAATTGTATAATGAACTTCAAAGAAAAGATACACCTTTACTATCTAGAATAGTGTTAAGCTGACTTCTCCATCTACACACTGTCAATGCAGAGCAAAAAGGGCCAGCTTGCCGGTGCACCTGCTGAGATGCAGGCCAGGGATGTCAGCGCAGCCCGAGAAGTGTACCCCCTGGACCTCTTTCCTGACTGTGACAGGTTGGGGCGACAACTGGGGAAATAGAGGAAGACCCAGCCTCCACGGTCACGAACTTCCACGACCTCAAGTTAAGAGTTCTGGGAAGGGGAAGCGGGAGAATTTGGAATAAAGACGCTTGGGCGGACCGGACCCCGGGGGACCAGGCCAACCTTGGGATGCTCAGTCATTTCCGGGACGGCTCTGGGAAGCCACAGGCTCCCGTGCCCGCGCCGCCTCTGCTGCCCCCTGCCGGGCGCGCCTCGCCACCGCGGTTACCTCTTGGGGACGTCGAAGGCCCTGCAGACGGCGGGGCGCCGCGGGCCGGGCAGCTTGGTCTTCCCGTAGCGGATGAGGTCCTGGAAGAGCGCGCAGCTCGGCAGCAGTCCGGCGGGTGCCAGCTGCAGGAGCAGTGCGAGCAGGAAGGCGGCGGCCAGCGCCAGCCACAGTGTGCGCAGCGGGTTCAGCACCGAGAGCACGGCCCCGGCCCAGCTAGCCATGGCCCGGGAGCGGGCTATGCACGCGCGCCACCGCGCCACCTCGGCGGCGCGCTTGGCGGTGACGCAGCAGTTGGGCGGGACCCGCGCTCCGCCCCGGGCTCTCCACTCCCGGAGCCTGCCCATCTAATTCTAAATAGACATTCCTAGATGCAACTCCAGTTTGAAATTCTGCAGAAACATGCAAGAACAAACACCTGCTTTAACTCTTAAAAGACAAATAAATTACACTTATTTATTTAGTGGAGTGGAAACATACCAAAATGTGTGGTTGGAAGCTTAAAAAAGCTTTGGGGCAAGTGGTTCTCTCCATTGACGATGTGGTGCATGGAACTCCAACTCTGGCGGTCAGTTCTCACCAGCCCAAACTTGGACTGTGGGGTTACTGCTGCGAAAAGGTGTAAAGAGAATTTTTGGTTGAAGTCCAAGCTGGATTCTTGGATGGATCCCCATGGGGTCCCCCAAGAGCTAGGAGCTGAAGGATCTTAGTACCACACTGCAAGTAGCACCCAGAATCATTAGTGTGCTACAGATGGGGGTCACTGTGCAAATTCAGGGCTGACCTCTGGAAGGGCCTTGGTGAAAAAATTCTAGGCATTGGCAACTGTGGGCTGAAGCTGCCCCAGCAAACTCTGGACCTTGGAGAAGAAAAGCACAGTATTGCCCTCCATGGATGTGAGTTTTTCACTTATCTGCTTCATGATGCTGTTCCGTTCTAGGTATTTAACTATGGTTGACAGGACACCTACTGAGCCCGCTGACTTTAGTGTTGCAAGTGAAAATGGAGGATTCATTGGCTTGAGCCCAAAGGAAAGGTGACAACAGATTTCCACACCCCTCTCTCCAAGGATGAGGCTCTTACCCTATAGTATCTTTCAGTTATCAATGGAAAACACTATCACTTTGGATGAAGGCCTGGTTCCCTATTAACAGGTGCTTAGTGGTATTTCAGGCCATTGGGTCCTTGGATAGCACAGACTAGCCTTATTTCCAATAAAAACAGAAAAGGAGACACCTTGAATACACTTTGATCATTTAGCCAAATTATGGTACACTCACATTTTTTTTCTCTTAAAAAATTTCTATTATTTTTAGGTGTGTGTGTGTGTGTGCCTGTGTGTGCCTGTGAGTACATGTGTACTCAAAGTTCCCAATAGAAGTTAGATCCTCTGGAGCTGGAATTTCAGGCATTTGTGAGGGGTGGGCCTGTGGTGGTTTGAATGAAATGTTCCTCCTGGACTTACGTGTTTGAACAGTTGGCCCCTGGTTGGTGGTGCTGTCTGGGAGAGGTCATAGGACCTTTAGACCATGGAGCCTCACTGGAAGAAGTGTGTCACCGCAGGCAGTCTTCCGAGAGTTATAGTCTTACCCTGTTTCCAGTTCTCACCTTCTGCTTTGTGTTTGTAGTTGAAGAAGTGACCCCTTGGTGTCTTAGCTTTCTATTACTGAGATAAAACACCTTAACTGCCCCAAGCAACTGGGGCAGAAAGGGTTTATTTCAGCTCTATTTCCACATCACAGTCCATTATGGAGGGACGTCAAGGCAGGGACTCAAGGCAGGAAACTGGTGGCAGGAGCTAAAGCAGGAGCCATGTATGATTGCTGCTACTGGCTTGCTCCTTCTGACCTGCTCATACTTTCATATACAACTCAGGACCCCTGACCAGGAGTCCCCCTGTGTGCTGGGGTGACCCACATCAATAATTATTAATCAAGAAAATGCCATATATGCAATATGTTAGAGAGATTTTATTAGTTTTTATTAGTTGAGTTTCCTCCTCCTAGGTATATTACTCTAGCTTGTGTCAACAAAACAGACAAACACAACCATAACACTGAGCTTCCTGCTCCAGCCACCTGCTGCCAAGCCTCCCTGACATTATGGACTCTCCTTCTGGAACCATGAGCTGAATGGTTTCTTTCATAAGTTGATTTTGATCATTGTATTTTACCACCACAACAAAAAAGTAGTGCTACCAATACGAGAATCAAATTCTCATCCTTGGGAAGAGCTGTGTTTATCTTAACCATCGAGCCATCCCTCCAGCCCTCACTAACATGGTATCAATAACATGCCATGTAGCTGTTGGCATGATAATTATGAAGGCAAACACACAGGAAGCTGTTGATAGTGTTTGAAGAGATTGGTATCAACTCAGGACCCACAAGACCAAGTTCTCAGCCAAAAGGAGGTTTACTTGCCCCTGAGGGACTGATGGTAGGGAACAAGAGATAGAGACAGGAGATAGAGGACAAGGGAGAAGGGGGGGGGACAAAGGAGGAGGCAGGGATATTTGTTCAGGAAGGACAAAGAACTGCCTCTGGATAGAGAGGAGGTAGGTGTGGCCCATATGAAAATGGCGATTTTTAAAAATAAAGGGAGAAACCCTGTGTTAGGATGAGTGAGGTGTTCAGTTTTAATTGAGCATGTTAATTAGTTGAACCAAAGTTGGCCATTTGATTGCTGGACTTCAATACTTTGCTTGCTGGAACTTGGTTGTCATCCTCAGGGGGAGGAAGTGGCCCAATAAGGGAATAGAACTTGGTGACCAGCTTTAGGAAAGTAATCTAATGTTTTCAGCAAGGCAGAGAAAATGAGGAGAAAGACAAGGCCTGACGGAGCCATATTTGCTGTGTTCAGGCTGGCTAGAGTCCGCCCCTTCAGTGTGGGAAGACACAGCACAGTGTGCTCACCCCAGATAAGGAATTCATGATGAACCAATGTATGGATACCATCAAAGTCCAATTTGGTGGACCAATGAGTTTTATTGGGTTGTTTACAGGAATATGGGTGAGGGATTACTTACAGGAGCAAAATGACTCAAAGACAGCTGCATCAATAATGCCTGCCCCAGTGTGGGTGACAGCTCACAAAGCTGGGAACCTGGAGCCTACTTGTAACGAGTAAGGTTTTTCCGCCCACCGCTGGTCTTGTCCCACCACTGCGCCAGCCCCAATTAACACACTGGGACTCTGTATTAGATATAATTCTGTTGGCCAGTTACTTGTTTCTTATCTGCTAGCTCTGTCTTAAGTATTAACCCATTTCTGTTAATTTAAGTATTTCCATGTGGTCTTCTTACCAGAGAGCTGGGGGGGGGGGCAGCGGTTCTGTTCTCCCCCAGTCTCTCCATCTTGACTCCTCCTTACTACTTCCTCTTTCCTCCTTGTCTCTTAGTCCTGCCTATCTTGCTTTCCTATTGGTCAACAGCGCTTTATTCATTAAACCAGTATGAGAAACATATATACAGAATGACATCTCCCATCACCTACTGCACAGCCTACAGGCAGCTCAACAGGTTGGTGAGTGTCCTTTCCAGGTGCCTCAGTTGGTCTAAAACTTTTCTGGGGACCTCAGCTAGTTTCTGCTTCTTCCGGGCAGCTGGTCTGGCCTTAGTCTTTCAGTTTCTCTCTTCTGAAAGTCTATTCTGAGCTGGGACTCTCAGCTTTTATTGCTTACTCTCGCAGGAAGGGGCCTAGTGAATCTGTTCAGTTTCAGGGACTTCCTAAAGCTATCCTGAGTTATTTGCCTTTCTGCTTAAGAAGCTGTCTGCAGAAGGGAATGTTTAATCTTAGAGGAAACTGTTGCACAATAAGTACTTAAAATTGCCACTGACAGCTGACTGAGGAGTCTGTTCCTCTACCTGGGAAGCATTCCTTGGTAGGCAAGAAGCCCTTTTAGTTCAGATGTCTAGCAGCTTTCTGTTTACCTCAGTGTCTCATAAAGGAGCGGTGGCAGCAGACAAGCAGAAACAGTGGCAAGTGGCACTCTATAGGACAATCTTATGCGGGGTCTTGGCTATGGAGGCCCCTTGTTCCTTGGCTGCAGCAGTGTTAATGCTCTCGTTGTGATGTCTGTCTCAGACTCCTGGTCCTGAAGACTTGACAGCCTTCTCAAACCCCTTTAGCCACCACAGAGAGGTTCTATTAGTTACCCCTCCTGTTGTTGGTGGCTGCAGCTGGGATGACTTGGGGTACTACTTGCCTTTGTAGGGTTTCTGAGTGTGCATTTACCAAAGATTAATGTAACACACCAAATTCTCCATGACTCAGGTGTTTCTGGCTGTGTTTGCCCACACTGTATAGTTTGACTTCACCGCTGCCCTGGTTCTGAACACACTTTGTACTGTTTATGCTGTCTCTCTCACGATGCTAATGACTGTTGCCTACACCACTGTGCAGACACTGGTACACACTGTAAATCACAGAATTTTTATTGGATAGAGTTATTGGCTGTTCTTGTGGAAACATGTGGTTTAACTATGGAAAACAAAGACTCTGGGGCTGAAGAAATGCTCAGCAGTTAGAAACTCTTCCTGCTTTCCCAGATGATCCAAGTTTGGTTCCCAGCACCCACTGAGGGCAGCTCACAGCCTCCTGTAACTCCAGTTCCAAGAGACCCTCCTGCCTCTGGCCTCCTTGGGCACCCAACCTTATGGGCAGGCATACACACACACACACACACACACACACACACACACACACACACACACAGAGAGAGAGAGAGAGAGAGAGAGAGAGAGAGGCTTAAAAATTACAGGGAATTTAGCTTTTATATTTGTTATTACTCAGAATATAAACAGCAAATTCCTGTATCTTTGAATTGTGTTATATTAGAAAGTTTGCTTTTAAAAATTATTGGCTTGATTTCATTTAATAAAAATCATTAAATGAATTTTGGCTTGAGATTAGAACAAAATTTCCAAAATCTCTGAAACAGCCCTAAACTTGCTTCTGCCATTTTTGTTACTATTTTATTGCTATTTTTTCACTATGCAAAGCAGTATTCTCAATATTGATTATTATAAAACAGAACTGTTTATCAACTCTGAAAAATGTTGCTCTCTGGCCCACAGTAGCAAATATTCAGCCAAGATTAATTCTGTTTTTCATCTAATTTTATGTGTATGGGTGTTTTGCCTGCATATATTTCTGTGAACCATATGTGTGCCTGGTGCCTGTGGACACCAGAAGAAGGCATTCAATCCTCTAGAATTGGTGTTATAGATGGTTCCATGTGAGTGCTGGCAAT